ATGAGGTTTTTGTTCTTATCTTTTTATGTCCTATGAATCTTTTTAAACCTTCCTCCATTATGTGTGTATTCTGTGTGTGTTTTGTTTGTGTGTGTATATGTATTCCTTCTCCATACGCATATATAGTTTTAGTTTATATATATATATATATATAATATATATATATATATATATATATATATATATATATATATATATATATATATATATACTGCATGGTGAAGTTTTCTTGTGTGTGGGGGGCGTGGAGTGTGTTTGTTTTTGCCAGTATGTGTGTATATATTCGATCTCCATACATATATATTATATATATTATTATGAATAAATCTATACAGTAACTACATGTATTTTTGTATGATGTGTTTGTTTGTATGAGTGTATGTATGCATGTAGTTAGTCTAGTGTGTTTTGCCACGATATGTATATGGTGTATGTTTATGTGGGGGTGGATTATCATTTATTTAGTGCTGGTTTAAATTTGTCTATGAAATTCTTTTCTTGTATTTGTATATAAGAATAATCGTCTGTTTGATATATTGGCATGATTGTAAATTTACCTTTGTTGCATTTGTGGATATGTTTTTGACACAAAAGTGTATATATATATATATATATATATATATATATATATATATATATATATATACAGTGGGGGAAATAAATATTCGTACACATGAAAAATTGTATTTTTATAAATGTAAAAGCCTTAACTAAAACAAATTTTGATACATTTTATGTGTAAAGATACATTTTATTAAAAAAAATAGTAATAAACTTAATTAATTCTTATTCTAACAGAAATTAATGCATTTTTTCATTTTAACTGATGAAAAAAGTATTCGTACAAAACAAGAAAAAGCATATTAACTTAATTTAATACTTTGTAGAATATCCTTTATTGAGTTCAACAGCTACCAGTCTATTCCTGTACGTTCTCAACTAATGATTTGCACACATTGAGTGGTATTTTATCCCATTCTTCTTGGCATATTGTCTTCAAATTCTTGATATTTGTTGGTGCTCTTTTCCCAATTTGAATTTTCAAATATCGCCATAAATTCTCGATTGGGTTCAAGTCTAGGGACTGACTTGGCCATTGCAAGACATCAACGTTACTTTCAGCTAACCATTTCCTTGTAGATCTAGCGGTATGCTTAGGATCATTATCCAGTTGGAAAACCCAATCAGGAGGTAGCCGAAGTCTCTCAACAGAACGCATTAAATTGTCTTGCAGGATTTTCTGGTAGCTTTCGGCATTCATCTTTCCATCTATTATTGATACTCTGCCAACAACTTTTGCAGAAAAACAGACCCAGATCATGATACTGCCACCACCAAACGTTACAGTTGGCAACGTGTTCTTTGGTAAGTAGGCTTCACCGTCCTTCCTCCACACATGATTTCGATAATTATGACCAAACAACTCTATTTTAGTTTCATCAGTCCATAGTACTTTTTCCCAAAACGAATATTCTTTATCCTTATGCTCTCTAACGAATTTTATCCTAGCATCTCTGTGTCGTTTCAAGAGGAGTGGAGTCTTCCTTGGGATGCGTGATTTCAGACTGTTTTGCGTAGTTCATTACTTATTGTACGCTTGGTTACTTTAATCCCTAATGCACGCAGATGTTCCTGCAGCTCTTCTCGGGTAACCTGTGGATTTTGTTGGATAATAATATCTTTGCTGATCTTAGAGAAATCTTCCTCGGAGCACCTGTTCGTCTTTGGTTTTCGACGCTGTTACGAGTTTTAAACCTTGCAATGAACGAAGCAATTGTAGTAATAGGAATATTCAGGTTGTTCTGTAACTGTTCCCATCTTTCCAAAGACACAAAATGTGTTGTTTTTGTGAAATAGTCAATTCTTTACCCTTAGGAATTATTAGAACCTTCTCGTAAGACTAGAAATTGCAGAATGCTCTGATAATGGCTAATAGCGTTAACTATAATTACTGATAACATTACTGGAACATTCTAGAATATACTTTTTTCATAATTAATTGATTATTTTATTCTAGTAATTGATTTGTACGAATACTTTTTTCACCAGTTCTTATTTAAAAAATGCATTAATTTCTGTTCGAATAAGAATTAATTAAGTTTATTATTATTTTTTAATAGTATGTGTCTTTATACATAAAATGCGCCGAGATTTGTTTTATTTAAGGCTTTTACATTTATAAAAATACAATTTTTCATGTGTACGAAATATTTATATATATATATATATATATATATATATATATATATATATATATATATATATATATATATATATATATATATATATATATGTATGTATATATATATATATATATATATATATATATATTAATGAGTGGAAAAAGAAAGAATATTTAGGTGGACAGTAGATAACGTTTGACATTTAAATTTTTGCAGATTAAAGTTGGCTGGAAAGGATGGAGCAGGAAGGGAGTTCCACAAGCGAGATGTACGAGAAAAATTGTTAGCATAGAATTTACGGCTACATCTAGTCAGCTCAACTGTAATTTGAAGAGAGCTCGACAGCAGCGCTTAAATTCTAAAACTCTAGACACCTTAACGAAGAGCTCTTTCGAACAATTACCGTGAAAGTATATATACATATATATATATATATATATACGTTACTTAATTTTTTTAATCATTCCACTTCAAGAAAGGTAGCAAAGCGACTTAGATACAAGGAGTTACAGAGTGTGAAAGAATAAGAAAAATGAGGAACGTAATTAAGGAGCGAGAACTATAAAAGAAGAGGAATCAAGAATATTGTAGATAGCTATTGACATTGCATTTAAATTTTGTATGAAGATTAAAGTTAACTGGAAGCACTGGGCTGGAATAGAGTTCATAAGCGAGAAGTGCGAGACAAGAAACTGTTAGCATAGAACTTACGGTTACATCTTGTCAGTTTAACTGTAAAATGATGAGACCTAGCTGCCAATCTAGTACTGCGCTTCAATTCATAAAGTCTCGCTACCATAGAGAAGATTTCATCCGAGCATAATAAATAATAACTCTTCAACCTAGAAATTCAGACAGAAAGTATTTTATATGTATATAACATTTATTTATTAATAGAGCTTTGTAGCAAATTTAAAGCTTTTGTAAGCAAAAAAAAAAGAAATCCTTGCAATTACGAAGAGTGGTATTATGTGCCATATCAGCTTCATAGTGTACACAGATAAAGCCTGTAAAAACAAGTGCAACGTAATTATTCAATCTTTTCTATTTTTCCTAAAAGTGAAAGAGAACATTGTATGTCGTTGAAAATGGAAAACCTGTCAAATGTTTGACTAGCATTGTCTTTGATCTTCACTGACTTTGTCTGCTACTGTCATATTGTTGAATCCACTCTATCTGTCGAGGCTGGAATTCACACTTTGTGCGCTTCGATTGGTTTTCTTTCTCTCTTTAAAGGAAAAGTTATTTCAGGAAAGTTTTGGAGTATTTTGATTGGTTGTAAAATCTACCAGTTTTGAATTTACAGTCGGGGTTTCTGCTTGTTTAAATATGTTAGTGATATGCTAATTAAACCATTGATTTCTACGCCATCCAAGCTCAACTGCCGATATGTTTATGTAATTAAATAAATGTCTCTTCATCACTAGATATGATTTCTTGGTAATATTCAACATTTCTTTAGTGGTAAACATCAATTTATGAAGACAAAATCTATGGTTCTCATCAAAAGGAAGAGTCCACCCAAAATTAAAACAAGTACAAAGATTTAAATATCTAGGATGTGTTTAAACGAAGGATGATATATGAAACACCAAAATCTGAAGTCCTTTTGAAATTGCAACAGATGCCTACCAAAAACAGATTGCAACAGATGCCTACTAAAAGCTATGCAAATTATTTTAAAAATGCAGAATCTTGTTAAAATGTGTAGTAAAATGTTATCTAATATCAGTCCTACAATATGGCAGTGAACGTTGGACATTCTCCGCACAGACGAAAAAGAAAATTGAGTAAAAAGAATATGGTTCTACAGAAGGATACTGAGAATAGTGTGAACTGAACAGGTAAGTAACGAAAACGTTTTAAGGAAAATGTAAACCAAAAGGACACTTATACTCAGAATTGTAAAGAGATAATTGAAATTTCTACATAACGTAGTGATGAAAGGGGTTTGGAAAATTTAACACAACACATTTTGAAGGCAAGTGGAACAGAAAAAAACAGCGTACAACATAAGCTAACGAGCTTGTGCAAATGGTTGGTAGATAATCCTCATCTATTACAATTTGTTTTAAAAACTGAGCATTTAAATACAGTTCAGCAGATTTAAATTATGTAGAAGTCAAACATCAAAGAGTCTAACATAAAACAAGCTGATACAAATGATTGTTAAAGTTTCATTTGAATATTTTGACTGTGTTGATTGCTTCCCGCCTCATAAAACATTGATTATTCTCAATGTCTTTATTTAATCGCTTTTAGCACATTCAATCATTTACAACCAAGTTAGTATTATTTCATCATTACCAAACAGGCCATAAATTTTCTCCAGTCACGACAAAAAGTTGCACTCTTAATGAGCGTTCCTGCTTTGAACATCGTATGGGTCTAATGTTCACTACATACTTCAAGTTAAATTCATATATACAATAAATTTGAGATGCTTGAAAAATGGTTGGCTCCTTGTATCGATCCAGAAAGTATGTGACTTCTTACCATTTCTTTCCTTTGAAAGAGTCAGATTAGACAAGAAAGGAAGTATTGCTGTCATATTTGGGTTAGAGTTGCCAAATTCTCACATGGAATCCGTTACGATTATACAGTAGACCTTGCTACCCGTAATGCACCATTGACCAGCATACATGAATAGTCGAGCCAACACAAAATACACATGGCCCGAATATTGCGTTCAAGTTTGAAACAGACTGTCGCCAATCGGTGTTCACCTCAGTGTTTCTATCTCTGATATTGAACACTTTCACCTATAAATATAACAAATCGTAAGCCTAATAGATAGATAAATAGATGGATATGAACAGAATCAGATAGAGAGATAGATAGATAGTAATGAGTAGAATCAGATAGATAGATAGATATAAATAGAATCAGATAGGTAGATAGATAGAGAGACAGAGAGAGAGAGATTCCACTTTCCTTCAAATGGAATAACGTTCATTATTAGAGAAGGTAAGTTTAACAATAAAAGCCTCCAGTTCTACAGATTTATTCAATCGTGATATAAATTGAAGTAAATAATCTTAAAAACTTCTTCTACACTCTAGGAAATTTACATTAAAAGAACAAAAAAAAAAGAAAGTTATAGAACAAAAAATGAGATTTCTAAAAAAAAGAAAAAGAACCCCCCCCAAAAAAAACAAATATATTAATTCTCAACAAAATATTTCAATAAAACCAAATATTCCTTCTTTGTCAGCACCATTATTTATTGGCATAAAAGGGTCTCTGCAGACTGTGTTTATTCGCGTACATAAAGTAGTGATTCACGTAAACCCTGCCAATCCCCTTATCATCAAGAAGAAAAAAAAATTGGACAAGAAGTTTTTTTATCTGATGAAATCAAATTCGTCAGCCGGCATAAAAGTTATCAAATTACTTTCCAAATGTGTAAAAAAAAAAAGTTAAATACGGAGATGATGGCGAGGGGGCACTGGTGTTGGCGCACTCATATAACTGCGACAATATATGACGATATTGTTGAAAGGCATGTTATTCATTTTCGAAGATCATCTCGTGTCCCTCGTCCCATGTTTAAGAAAAATCATATTCTTTTTCATATTACAAAAACAGTTAATTCTTCGGAGCTGAAAACTATGTGGTCATGGCGAGACCCGATCTCGACTCAACTGAAAATGTTTAAGAATCATAGGCGATAATGTTGTGGCAAGGAATCCAACAACACTGACAGGAATGCGACAAAATCACATCTGAACACGCCTTTAGGAAAATATTATAGTCTTATTGCAAAATAATTAAAAACCATAACCTATACATGTCTTATTAATATTCTCTATCAATAGTTAATCAATTATTTTGTTAATTTCATGTAGATACGTACTTACAATTTTGTCCTCTAAATGGAAACGCAGTTTTTGTTTTATAATTCTCTTTATATTTTGTTCTTTTTATGTAAATTTACCATAATGTAAAAGAATTTACATAATGTAAAAGAATTTACATAATGTAAAAGAATTTACCATAATGCAAAAGAAGGTTTTAAGACTATTATTGCTATTTAGATCATGATCGAATCGGTAAAAAAAAATGTTTAAAATTGGACGTGTGTGTTTTGAAAATATTTTAATTATCTATATAAAGTCATTTTCTGGAATTTAAATTCCTTTCAATGTTTTTTCCAACATATTTTGAAGCATTCAATTATGTTTTCAGTTCCTACGAATATTCAAATTCATTTTAGTTTTCATTCCAACCCAATGCTGCTTTTTCATTCGAAAGAAAAAATTATATATTTAAACAAATCGATACAGCAACCAAAATGCAAAATAATTGCTTTTAGCAAATAGAACAATACAAGCCCGCCAAATTACGCCAATTAAAGATGAGAGGATGTTTTTGTCGATTTATTTCAATGTCACACAAAAGATAAATATATTGCAAAAGAAAGCAAGTGTGTTTTATTGATTTACTGCGAGTTGCGTTTCCTCCAGAGAAGACGTATCGGCAACACACGATCGTGTTCCACGATTTAACATTCAGATTGCTTTTATACAAATAAATAATACTAATAGTACACGTATTATTTATTTGTAATAATAGTACACGTAAAAATATTCACAGTTTTCCGATTTATATTTTCTGATGAATAATAATTCTTAAATTAATGTTTGATAAGGTCCTTGCCACCTTGACGACTACAATATATATATATATATATATATATATATATATATATATATATATATATATATATATATATATATATATATATATATATATATATATATATATATATATATATATATATATATGGCTAACACCTATATCATGTTGAAGCACCAGTTCATCTGAGTGATCACTGAAGTTAAGCAACGTTGAACTTGGTCAGTAACTATATGCGTGACCGGTTTGGAAAACCAGATGTAAGATTCGATGACCGTGAGGTGTAATGGATAATGGCTCAGAATTGAAAATCGGAGAGCCTAGATCAGATTCCAATCGGGTTCTTTATATTTATTTACGCGAAAATACTCTGTTCTTGTGTCAATTAGTAAGATTTTTTATCAATAAATCATAATTATCTCCAAAAACTTCTTACAAACTTTTCAATATTTTCTGGCTTTAAATAACTTGTAAAAAGTTGATAAACCATAAAACACAAGTCAATCAATCAATCAAACATATATATATGTGTCGGAAGGATAATTATATAAACCTGCCCTTTATTTGGATTTCTGTAAACTATTCACTCAAAGTAATACCTCCTATCCGCGAGTGCTATGTTCCGAAAGCATCATAGGATACCTGAAACCGCGGATATATCAGATATATGTTTTGTTTTTCTGTATGCATACATATCTATGATAAAGATTATTTTAGAAATCAGGTTCAATAAGTGATTAACAATAACAATTAATAATTAAATAGAATATGCTATAATAACTGTTATATGGTGGATATGGTTCGTTATTGCTCGAGATCTTAGACAAAATAAAGGATTAAGAAAACTTAAAACAAAAAGAATTAGAAAGAAATTTTTTTAGACACGTAAAGAAGAAGCTTGGAGAATTTGACATTAACATGACATATTGACAGAAAGATGAACAGAGAGAAATATCAGCCAGTTCATTGTCACCCTCATCAGCCATTGTAACCAAGTACTTGTATACTGGAGCATTGTCCTAATGATGTAAGATCCCCTTCGCCAGTTTTCCGGGGCGTTTAGTATTGATAGAAAGTTAACATAGTATTTTATGTGGCCCTTTTGAAGATAGTCAATAAACACAATGTCTTTTACGTACCAAAAATTAAGACCATCACATATGCAAATAAAACAACGATGGTCTTCTTCTGAGCAGGTGAGGAGAGGAGTTTCCACTGAATAGATTGTCTCTTTGTCCCTGGCTCACAGTAATGAATCCAACACTCAACCTCAGTTAGGTAACATTCAAGGAAACCAGTTGGATCTGTCTCAAATAATATCAAATTTTTAAGCGATGTGATCAGCCTGGTGCGCATTTGATTAGGTTTCAGAAGACGTAACACCCACCGAGTAGAAACATTCGTCATGCCAATTCATTGTGTAGAATATTTTCAACTCTCTCACGGGATATGCTAATAGCATTTCACTTTACTTGGAAATAAACAAAGCAGTTATTAATAAGAAGAGTTGGAATTAATGCATGCAATATTTCAGTGAACGATTATCACTCCATTATAGCTTATGAACTTTTCAACCTACCTTTCTAGTGTTTAATATCTTTGTTCGCAAATCTGAAGACTAAAGAAAATGTATAAATTCATTTTCATATGTTTGGGCTTTATTAAAATTCTAACAATCGCTTTTAAAAAAAACAATACACATTGCCGAGGGGGTCAAGTGTATGCAGTAATAGCTGTTTCAAGGGAATAATCGTCTTTTTGACACTGTTTTCGGGCACGAAGGTTAAACATGGCTGCATAATGCTCAGAGGGGTGCCAATATGAAGATATATTTCCCCAAATCAGCATCGCACGTGCAAACGACCATCACTTCACTGCACCAATGTTTATGCATATATTGTAACCTAAGAAAGGTTACTGAATAAGGAATAACCAAAACAGAGGTTGGAAATAAAATGGTAATCTTTATAACATCAACAAAATACAATACTCGCCAGCGGCGAGAAGTAGGTAAACCACTGCTAGTGGTGGACTACTTAGACACCATATTGCCTCCACTTACAATAGTGTCCAACGTATTTATGAGAATTGGGACATACTCATTAGTGTTCTTAGGTATGTTATATAACAGTATACAACGGTGTTGTGGAGTAAATGTAAGTTTAACTATTGGCACGCGTAAACGATTCTCCATTGCCCATGTTCATGTTCCTGGATTCCAGATTTGTTCAGGTGGAGTAATGGATAGCGACTTGGATTGAGGAATCGGAAAGCCGAGTTCGAATTCCGGTCAAATCCATTACATTCACTTCGTGCTGACAACCTTGGGAAAAGGTATGAATCTTCTTCTTCTCCCCACCCCAGCTATGAGTAAATAGACCGGGTTCTGTAGCCTTAGATACTGGTCTAGGAGAAGGACAATTCTGAATTTAAAACCTAATCCTCCAGCTTAGAGGTTGTGCAGTAGGCTAACAATCTACACACTTAAAAACTGGCTTGTTATAGAAACCGCAACGATAGGGACAACAAGGGATTTAAAGGCATAATAAAAAAGGCATAATAAAAAAAAATACTGTAGGCGCCTTTCGGTCTCTCTCTGTTGCTCTTACCATGCCGTTTTATCTGTTTTTTGTTTTTTTTGGCGGTGGAGTTCGGACTTTCACTGGTGTTTTTTAGCAACTTGTACTTTCATGTTATATTATTAATTTGATGCAACTTGTTAACCATTGCTAAATTGTGTATTCGTTATTTTCATATATAACATGCTAGCAGGCTTCACCCGTTCGCTATCGCTTCGCTAAGTAAGATATATTCAGTACATGAAATCTTTGAAACAAAAATTTTAAATGAACGATTCATTCATAAACTGACTTATTATTGTTAAGGAAAGTTTTACAAATAGATGCCAACTTGTTGAAGGCCAAGTAAAATGCAAATTTCAAACACTTTTCTGCACTATATAAGACGATAACACCAAACAGAACTATTTTTGATATGAAAATCAAAACAATCCCGAATAAAAGAATAGTAATGAAGGACAATTAATTAATGAAATAATTTTTTAAAAATCAATGCAAATTAGTTAAACCTGAAAAGTGATTTTGCCTAGAAGTAAATAATATATAATACATATATTGAGCCTTTTGTGCGTAAATTACAATAAAGTAGAGCTGTGGCTTCTTAATTTCAGAATTCGTGGGAGAATTGAGCTCCAATTACGCATTTATTCATATAGATTCCATAATATTGGTTATACTTAATTAGCTATTATGTTTCTTTAACTCTTCAAATGTTGA